CCTCTTAAAAGAACTGAAAGAAAATACCCACATGATCTTCTCTCTTGATGCAGAAAATGCCTTTAATAAAATCCAACACACCTTCATGATAAAAGTCCTGGAGAGATTAGAGATAAAAGGGATATGCCTCAACAAAATAAAGGCAGTGTATGGAAAGCCCATAGCTAAAATCAAATTAAATGGAGATAGCATTTAATGAAAGCAATTCCACTAAAGTCACAAAAAAGGCAAGGGTTCCTCTACATACGTTTTCAATATAGTAATTGAAGTTGTTGGGCCCTAAAGCCCCACCAAGGTAGAGGTCGCCCCAAGAGACACTCTCAGCACTGTTGATGCAATAGCAAGAGGAATTTTTATTCTGCTGATGCAGCAGAGGTCCCTCAACCTCTAGAGGGAACAAGTCCGTCATCTGTGTTCCAAAGAAACACACAGAAGACTCAAAACTTATAAACTGGCTGCCTTTTAGCTCAGGCTTCTTATTATCTCTTATAACTTACATTAACCCATAATCATTGTGTATGTTAGTTTTGTGGCTTGGAACCTTTTATCAGTTAGGCATTCTCATCTGTCTTCCTTGTGTTTGGTTGATGACTGCAGACTGAGTCTTTCTTTTTCCCAGAATTCTTCTGCTCTCATCACCACACCTATCCTTCCTGCCTGTCTACTGGCCAATCAGAAATTTATTAAAACAATACAAGTGACAAATTTTTGCAGAGTAAAAGACAATTGTCCAGAGGAGTTCCCCTTTATTTCCCAAACAAGAACTCAGAATCTAATCTCCTTTGTTTCACTTTCTTTCTGAATAGTATGCATAACAGCTTGTTACTACCACACTAAACAGAAAAACATTCATAATTCATTTTTGGGGAATGTTGAAAGAGTTTTCTAAGCTATTTCCTGCTGACTGGGAGCACTGGTTATCTTGTGGAGACATAAAGAAAATTTAGAATTATGGCCAAATCCTGACTTGAATATTCTTGGAGGCTTGATGATTTCAATCAGTAGTCTTGAAGTTGTTCTGGATGTGGAACTCAGACTTCTGGGCCATCCACAGCTCTCAGAGATTTGTTAAGGCATCTTCCTTAATCAAACACTTTTTTTTTTACCACCAATAAACCCACAGCCTCTCTTTTCCTGTTGAAACAAAAGCAAAAGCTGTTCTCCAAAGTAACATATCTTTTGACTTAAATTTTGAACTCAAGGCATTTTCAAAATATATATATCAGATTAATCCAGCAACATTTATCATCAAATATCTGTTAGCAGCTGTTGTTTCTTCCTTAACCATCAAGCAATTCAAAGACAAAACACTTACATATAGAACCCAGATTCCTTGTGTTGTTTCCATTTTTATGGGGCTCTATTTTAAACACTATTACTTTTATTTCTATTTTTAAATTGGTATTCTTAGACAGGGTTTTTCTGTGTATCATTAGCTGTCCTGGAACTCACTCTGTAGATGCCAATAACAAGTTGTTGTTGTTGTTGTTGTTTTTGCCTTAGCTCTACAATAAGCTTATGTCAGAAATGGTGATGCCTTCAGCAGTTCCTTTATCATACAAGATTGTTTCGGCTATCTTAAGTTTTTTGTATACTTTTCTTACATTGCCCTTTCCCTTACCCCACTTAATGCTTATGTTCCCTTTTCTCTTTTAAAACTTTATATTACCATGTTCTATCTTCCTTCCTTAAACTTTTCTTCTTAATGACTTTCTTACTTCTATGGGGATCCCAAACAGAATACATATGTCAGAAGATTCCAGATAACATCCACAAATAATAGAAAGGGTGTGACAATTGTCTTTCTAGGTCTCAGGTACCTGACGAGGAATAAAAGTTTCCAATATTACTTCCAGTACATAATTTCATTTTTAACACATGAATAATGTTGCTTTGTGTAATGTACACATTTTCACTATCCATTCATCAGTTGGTGGCCATCTGGTATTGGGAATAGAGCATCCATGATCAAGGAGTAGCAATTATCTCTACAGTTGGATAGCGAGTCCTTTGGTGGGTTACTAAGGAATAAACTGGAAGGTCATATGGTGAATATGTTCTAGCTTTTTGAAGAATCTCCACATTGATTTTCAAAGTGATTGCACTGCTTCATGCTCCCACCAGCAATAGACAAGCATTCCCCACCCCACATCCCTGTCAGTATTCTCCACTACATTTTGATCTTACCAATTATGTTAGGTGAGGATGAAATCTCAAACTAGTTTAATTAGCTAAGGAAAGATGAAAACTGAACATTTAAAAAACATTTATTTCTCAGTCATTTGTACCTCTTCTTGTTAGAACTCCTTTTTAACTGAGTGTGTTCAGATATTTTGTCTATGTGTATGTCTATGCACCATGTATGTGACTGACACATGAAGAAACCAGAAAGTGTACCAGATCTGTGCCTGAATTTTAATGGAATTGTTTTTGGTTTTTCTTGTTTAATTTCTTTAGTTCTTTGTATGTTCTCCATATTTACCCACTGTCAGATGCAAACCTAGTACATCTTATAGAATGAGACAATAAGACCCAGTTGCTGAAAAAATTGCATACTTGACTAAATGAACCTGTAGAGATGAAGCTGCTCCTCACCTGGAGCCTCAACGGCACTGATTAGCTTCTACAGTGCAGGAAGGGTCCATGAAACTACGGCAGGAGATAAGCCATCACCACTTTGACCCAGCTGTGGATCGTGTGCACACATTCATTACCATCTGGCAACACAGGTGCACAGGTGCAGTAAGGACAAGTGACACTGGAATGAACAACTACCTAATGGCTTGACTTAAGGTCCGTTGTTGAGGTTGGACCCCACACCTGGTGTGTGACAGCTCGGTGGGGAAAAGATTTCCCAGGTGAAGTATTGTAGCTCTGGGAATGAAGTTTCCCCACTGCAAGTGTTAATGTTTTGAAAGGGAAGGTATCCTGGAGGTGGGAGCCAAGCAAAGTCATAGCTCACAGCAAATCTCACACAAGAGATTCATTTGTAGGGAAGAACACCAGGATGGTGGGTATCTTTGCTCAGGAAGAAGCAGCAGAACACTGATAGGAAGACAGGGTTTATGTACAGTTCCTTGCAAGTGAAGATTTCCAGGGTGGGGATGGATAGGTGGGTTTTTAATTTCTGAACTTAGCCACCTGCTCCTGGAGGAGATGTGTCCAACTGTTAGAGTGTTCTGTGGACAGAGCCCGGTTTGTTGGGGTCTTTCGGGGTGTGGTCTGGCCCCTCATGTGTACCTCAAGGTGCTTACACATTGCATCAACAGCAGGGGCAAGACACATCAGAGACTATTATTCTGTTAAATTATTAAATTATTCTGTTAAGTTATTCTGTTAAGTAGGCATACTATTTAATCAATTTCTAATGACTTAACATTACACTCTTAAATTAGCTCACCTCTCAAACGTCATCAGAGAAGCTTCTTTTTGCAGTAGATGGCAATGAACACAGAGACCTCCAGCTTCTCAAGAGACAGAGAAGAAAAAGAAGAACTCTCATCTCTAAATCGGTCAATGATATCACAACCAACCCTTCCAAGGCTCAGAGATCATTGAGGAAGAGGACAGAGAGATTGTAAGAGACGAAGAACATGGATTACAAAAGGGAAACCATGTTTCTCAGAAAAAACAGGGAAGTGGTTCAGATTACTTCACAGCCCCTGTGATTCATGGGAACTACACACTCTTAAGGCAGATGAAACACAGCACTAAGGAATTTTCATGAACTCGCATCTTCAGTTAAAGATCTTAGAGCAATCTGTACCTGTGGGGAGAGGAAGAGTCAATTTTAAGGATGTGGTCCCTGCTGTTTCAATCATCTGACATGTCAATCACACATCTGATAATATCTGGGCAGTACAGGTTGGACTTGATGGGTCAAATAAGACAGCAAGGAGCATGCACTATGTAAGTATTGTTTAATCCATGAGGACTCATGAGGAAAGGTGAATATAATCAAAAATTGTGTGTGAGATTCTGACAGGCACGATTCTCAATGAAAAAAAAGCAAAAAGATGACGCTACCTAGAACTACATCATTGTCCAATATCTGAGTTTAACTGTATAGCTGTTTATAGATGCTAAAAGTCATAATTTATACCACTGACATATATTTGGACATATTCTTAATTACATTTTAGTATATGCTCATTAGTTTAGTATCAGAAATTAAAATAAACAAAAGCAAAGTCTTAGTATTTTAAAATTCTAGTTCCTTTACTCAGATGTGATTTAGTGGTAAAAGCATTGGTTACCCTAAGAAATGACCAGATTTGTGTTTCTAGCATCATATGGTGGCTCACAATGATCTACCCTGAACCTGAGAATCCAATGCCTTCTTCTGACCTTCACGGTACCAGACACATGTGTAGTACACATGCTCAAATGCAGGAAAAATACTCATAAAAAAGTTTTCTTTAAAAAATTAATTTCCTTATGTCATTTCTCTTTCCAGTACAGCATATGTTGATTAAGTAATCTCTATAGTCATTTCCCACCTTCTAGTTTTGGCTCTTATATTTTGTATGATAAGCAATGATAACCTGTCAAACCTGGGCTTTGAATGGCAAGATGGAGCAGAACTCTCTTTGACCCATATTGTTTCTAGGGAGAGCACAAAGTTGAGTGTTGAGACACTAATTTTTTTATTAAATTTTATTCAGGAAGGCAAAACTTACTCACTCATCAATTTTTCTTCAGCTCTAAGGAAATAGTTTTAAAAACAAAGTTGAAAATATACTCAAGAGTAACTGCTGATACTCAGTTCTGAAATGGCAGAAAATCTGCTTTACTTTAACAGAAAAGGTTAAATCTGTATTAGCAGCAAATTATATACATAGAAATAGGATGACTTTAAACTCCAGATTTGTGTAAACATAAAACAAATCCTTTCCTATTCCTAGGAAATCCAGAGCAGCCCCGTTCACTCTGGAAGATGTCCTCCCACTATGGTTGTCCACAGTTGGGAGTTCGCTCTGGTCCCCATCAGCCCTGGGCTTTCAGCCCAGGCTTAGGTCCAATATCAGGCCAGAAAGCACATTCAGGTCCTTCAGGAATGGCTGGGCTGCCAGGATCTCTTCAATCTTCTGTTTTTGCTCAGAATCAGGGAAGATCTTCAGCAGGGCCTCCCTCAGCTTGCTGGTCTCTGCAGAAGATCTCTGTGCTGGCATAAGATGGTTCTGTTCTATATTCGAAATGCTGGCCAGGGATATGAAGTGGAGCTGCTGAGGAAGCCAAGGATCTGAAGAGGTTCCCTGGTTCCAATATGGAGGCTGGTAGCTGGTGATGGCTACTTGGGTGTTGTGGCTCTGGGCGAACGTGTCCACATTTGGCAGGTCACTGAGTAGAGGCTCCAGGTCTCTAGGTCCCTCCTTTCTAAGGAATTCTTTTAGCCGAGGCCCGTTTCTTCCTAGAGGGTTGTCGGGAACCATAAATATGTCCCCCACGAACGTGTACTGAAGCAATCTTTTGGCGATAATTTCTCTCCAGGACACTGACGCAGTCACAAACTCTCTGAATTTGTCATTGCTTACAATGACACCACCAGTCTTGTGTGCTAAGTGTAGTAGGAAGCTGTCGACATGAGAGCAAGAAATTCGTTCTCCAAGGACCATCCTGGAAGGAGTTAGAGATAATATTCCAACCTCCTTCAGCTGGGTCAAGAAGTATTGTTCTTTGACATTAGGATTGCGCCTTGTTCTCCACTGAGGCACAAACACAGTGATGTTTCTGTGGCCAAGGTTCCAAAAATATTCAACGGCAATTGCTATTCCACGGCAACTGAAGAATTTATGCAGACCGTGGGTAAATGCGACATTACATCCATCTATAACAATATGCTTCAAATCACTTCTGCCGGGTTCATTTTTTAACTCCAGCTTGTACGGTACTTTCAGCATATCTCTAAATCTCTGGACCCCCATATCTCTAAATCTCTGAATGCCCATAACTACAGAATCGGTATGATCAGAGGCTCCTGTCAATCCTGCATGGGTATCTGATGGTAAGAGCTGGGGCAGTGGCAGCAGTGAAGAATTCTGGGAATAACGTGGCTTGGACTGAGGGGAGCTGTACGAGCCAGGTTTCTTACAGGCAGCCTTCGCGTTATTGGGAAGCAAGGGATCAGCTTGATGTAGAAAGTTGTTTTTGGGAAAAGCTGAGCCTCTCTGGTGGCCTGTAGCTCCCCTCAAAATGAAGCTGACTTCTTCAGGACTGGAAGAGGAAAGAGTCTGTGAGAGGCCATTGCTCTCAAGGTCCACATTACCACTGTCCTCATTTGTGCCCCACATTTCATGTTTCTGTCCTGCTGGCCCACTTCTGAAACAATTTACTCTGCCTTTAGAGGTATCCAGTTTAGAGTCTGTAAAAGGTAACTGGAAAAACTTTTCTTCCACACTTTGCTCTGTGTGACTCTCTGTGCTCTTGGGTGTGGAATGTTCTGTGAGCTCACTTGCGCTAAGCCCAGCATCTGTACTTCTGCTCTGAGCAGCATCTGGACACATTGAGCTAGGGGCACAAACTCTGTGTCCTTGGAGCCTTTGGTTCTCTTTCTCAATTTCCAAGATCTTTAATTGTTCTGTAGAAGGCCCATACTTTCTGGTGATTTCCTCAATCATGTTACTAAAGAATTTTACAGCAATGTTGTTCTTCAATTCTTCTGTGCAGACTCTGATATTTTGTGAAAGTTCTGCACAAATTTGACTTCCTGTATCAAGTTGATTTGCCTGCGCAAGTGAAAAAGAACAGAATGGAAGTTACACTTAAACGATTCATCCCATAATAGACCCCTGTCAGTCAAAAAAATCATGTAGACAGGACTAGTTTTCAATGTTATTATTGACATGATTGTAGGAGAGAACTGGCAGCATTGATTATACTCAGTGCATTATAGGAGCGCGAAGGAACACGATATTTGGACAGAATGAGATAGGACAGTCTGGGAGGTAATGGAGGTTTGAAGAAAAGTTGATTGCATCAAGTACGTTGTTTATATGTTCAAAATGACCACAGAAAGAATGAAAAGGAGAAAAGGGAGAACCTAGACATGGAGTCCGGTAGGTGATGAGCACACTGTTTCTGCAACAGACAGGAAATGCAGGGTCATTTACAAAAAAAGCAGAGTGAAAAGCAAAGGCTGGCAAGGCCGGGTAAGCACAACAGGAGGGCACAGCTTCCCAGGCTCCTATCAGTGATTCACACCCACACCCTCTGCCTCCATGGCCTGTCTTCTCAGTCTCTGTCATAGGCTACTTCCCCATCATCCATCCCTCTCTGCTCACTCCCCACTCTTTCTAGACCCCAATGTAGGCTTTTACCATTTCTCTCCTTCTAGTCATGATTACTATTTAAAATTCTCTTTGTTTCATAAAATACTATACACCCTTCAGGATTTAAGCAATATAATAAGTCATCCTTACACAAGACAATTGAAAGGGTAGGTACATTGACATCTGACTTCCACAAATATGCGTATTTTGAATATAGTACCATCATATTATGCCTTCATGCTGCTCGGATAAATTGCTGACCTAAATCAACTTAAGGAAGAAAAGCCTTCCGTATGTCAACTTACAGATGAAAGTCTACCATCAAGGGAAGCCAAAGTAGAAACTAAATACAGGAATATGGAGAAGAAACTGAAAACAGAACATATGGAGCAATGCTGAAGATCAAGATGGCAAGGCAGCCAGCCAGCCACTAGCTCTTACCTCAACCTCAGTCTGAAAGGGCGATCCTGCCTCCAGGAACCTCAGCATGAGACTGTGTGAGAACTGTTTCCTCCCGATTTATATTCCTCTCTAGAGCTGGGATTAAAGGAGTGTACCACCCTATTTTATGGAAATTAGGGTGGCTCCTGGGATTAAATTTGGGTGTCTTTCTGTTACTGGGATTAAAGGTGTGTGTTACCATAATCTGGTCTGGAAGACTGATCAGTGGGATCACTTTACTCTCAGAAGATTAGGGAACGGTACTAAATAGTTATCAAAAGAAAATTTCATCAAGAAGACTTTTTGATTCTTAACATCTATGCCTCAAACACTGTTGGACTCTAGTGTCCAAACCGAGAAGGAGTCGCCCCCAGAGACCACCTCATGTACCACAGCCAATGCAAAAGCATGAGGATTTTATTAATTCTGTCATGACAGGGTCCCCCAGCATTCGGGAAGCCGAGAGACCACGACTAACTGGTACAATCTACTTTTAAAGGAGAAGGCCCCATAGAAACAAGATGGGTTGTTCCTTGACCATTATGATTGGCTTGTTCGAGAAGGGCTAGTACCAATAATTGACTGGAGAACTATTGTCAGATCAGATGAGGTCAGAGGTCATTTTGACCCCATTTCCCAGGGGACTGAGTCAAAACATACGTGTATGGGTAATTGTTCAGGAACTGAGTATGTGCATGTGTAGCTGTTAGGTCCTTGGTTCCCAGGGGAGTAGGGGAAGCACGAAGGCATGGAGGCTGAGAGGGTTTGGAATAGTCAGAAATGGCTTCAGAATTGTCTAAAATCTTACAACACTATTAATCTCTGTTCTGCCGAATGGCTCAAGCTTGTTACCTCATCTTGTACACATCCTGCTCCCTGGATGTCTGGCTGGCAACTCCTCTGACTCCACACTTTCTCATACCATCATTATCACTTGGCTTTTTTACCTTCTTTTATTCTGTTTAGCTATTGGGCTCTAAACTTGATTAATAAACCAATCAAAGTGGCATGTATTTACACTGTATACTGAAAGATTTCTCCACAGAGAACACAATCACACACACACAAAGACACACAATGCTTCCATGTGACATCCTGCAGAATGTTCTCTTTTCTGAGGACTGAGTACAGTACTCAGATTCATCATTCCCTGTCTTCTTAATACCATTCACCTAACTTCTGCACTGTAACTGACTTGCAGGGTTTTCTCTCTGCACACTATCCTATCAACATATCCATTTATCAAAGCTATTCTTTTGACAAGTATACTGCCCTCTGCTCAATATCAGGATTTCATATATGATCAAAGGAAATTCTCTGTGTGTCGTTCAGTTTTTCTGGTATATAATATCTGTGCAATCTAGTTCAGAGTCTGAAGAGAGCAGGAGGTCGGTAGCAAAATGCAAAATACAAAAGCTTTTGATTATGTATGATAAGCATCCCTGAGGCCACTCCAGTCAGGAAAACAGGAAGGCTAACTACAGATCTTCACTCTCCCTCCTTTCCTCCAAATTCAATCCCCAGTCCCATCTCTAGCTCCTTAGCAAACCACCGGCTGTGGCCTTCTCTTCCTCTGTCCCATGTTTCCCTCCAACCTTCCTCCACACTCACCCTGTTACCCTGGGCCCCAACCCGAGCAGGTATATGCAGGTAGGAGCCAGTCAAGTGCCAGAGAGGCAGGTAGGCCAGAAGAGCAGAAAGAAGAGCCCCACATCTTCACTCTCCCTCCTCACCTCCATATCCAATCCTAGTCTCCTCCCAAGTTCTGTAAACAACCAGCTGCTATGGCCTCTCCTCAAATAAGACCCCCATTCCCAGGGACCTTTACAGGTCCGGTTGACACACCATACTTTCTGTTGAGCCCTGGGGTCCAACTACCAGGAAGAGTCAACCAAGCGACCATCTCTCACACCACAGCTGATTTAAAGCATGAGGATTTTATTCATTCTGTCATGACAGGGTCTTTCAGCATTCGAAAAACCAGAAAGACCCCAAATAGCTGGTATCAGCTATGTCTAAAGGATAAAACCACAGAAGCAAGGGGGGTGTCTGGGAGTCGTTCTTTAACTGTTATGATTGTCTTATTTAAGAGGGATATTACAAATAATTGGCTGGAGAGCAGTTGCCAGATCAGATGAGGTAAGAGGAAACATCTGAGGGTCATTTTGGGATAAATGCATGCACCACCATGATTAACGGAATGTACCACCTGATATCTATGCCAACCCATGTGGCTCCTGTAAACGTGTATATCATGTGACTATTGGGATTAAAGTTGGTGTCAATGTGGCTTCTGGTATTAAAGGTGTTTTTCATTGTGGGTACTGGGATTAAAGGTTTGTGTTCAAGTGACTACTGGATTTAAACAAGCGTGTTACCATAATAACCTGGTTTGTAAGGATGACCACTGGGACTGTTTTACTCTCAGATTTTTAGGCAGTCTTTCTTTCTTAAAATACAATTGAAATGCCACTTCACAAAGGGATACTTGCCTCAATAAATACCACTTAATAAAATTAAATCATGATTAGGTAAGCAATATGCATAGACCCATAACCCCTTGATAAATAAATAAATAAATAAATAAATAAATAGATGAATAAACAGATGAATAAATAAAAGTCCCCCAAAAATTGGAAAAAAAAAGAAAACAAGGACAGCACAGTATTTTACCAGACTTTCAAGGAATAGTTAGCAATAATGCTCCTCAAATTTGTTTTTATGTTCATTAAACATAGCTCAGTTTATTTTATGATGTCACAGTTATTTAATACCCAAACCACATAAAGACCCCACATAAGAGAATTATATATATTTTTCTCTATGACCATCGATGAAAAAATTCTCAATAATATTTTCAAACTGAATCTAAGAACACATCAAAAGACCATCCACTATTATCAAATGGTCTTCATCCTAGAGGCTCTAGGATGACTCAATATAAGAAAATCAGTATATTCAATTCACCATCTTAAAAAAACTGAAAGAAAATACCCACATGATCATCTCTCTTGATGCAGAAAAGAACTTTAACAAAATCCAACACACCTTCATGATAAAAGTCCTGGTGAGATTAGAGATAAAAGGGATATGCCTCAACAAAATAAAGGCAGTGTATGGAAAGCCCATAGATAAAATCAAATTAAATGGAGATAGCATTTAATAAAAACAATTTTACTAAAGTCAGAAAAAAGCAAGGTTGTCCTCTACATGCTTTTCCAATATAGTAATTGAAGTTGTTGGGCCCTAAAGCCCCACCAAGGAGGATGTCACCCCAAGAGACACTCTCAGCATGGTTTGTGCAATAGCAAGTGGAATTTTTATTCTGATGCCGGAACAGAGGTCCCTCAGTCTCGAGAGGAGAAGGACCCCTGCTTTGCCTATTACAGGCTCTTAGAAAGGAAAAACAAAACAAAATCAGGGAAGGGTAGTACAGAATCAAAAGGGAGAGTCCAGATATCATTTGTCAACGACTTTGACTAGTTCATTTAATCATTAGCTAACTCTAATTGATCAATGCTATACAGGTTACTGGGTTGGTTACACAAGGAGGAACACTTTTAGTTTAGCTGTAGCCCATCTCACCCAAGTTACAGAGTCTGGGTCTATTGAAGAAAGACTAAAAAATGATAGAAAGTACTCAAAGCTCCAGTGCACACATGGTTGGTTACGAGGGTTCCCTGGTTCCTAGGAACAGGGTTGCGGTAATGCTAAGGTGCCCCAAAATCTTCAAAGTGTTAACTGGAGCAATAAAACAAAGAAGGAAGAAAGAGTAAACAAACTGTAATGGAAGACGTCTAACATCTTATAACTTACATTGACCCACAATTCTCTTCTGTGTTAGTCACATGGCTTGTGAGGCATTCTCATCTTGCTTCCTCTGTGTCTAGGTGATGAGTGCAGACTGAGCCTTTCCTCTTGACTGGTTCTCCTGTTCTCATCACCCCAACTATACTTCTTGCATGTATTGGCCAATCAGTGTTTTATTAAAGCAGTAGGAGTCACAAATCTTTACAGGATACAATAGATTGTCCCAAAGGTGATGCCCCCTTTCTTTTTCAAAGCAAAAACTCAGAATACAATATTTTTTGCTTAGTTTTCTTCCTAACCATTAATCATAACAATGTATAACCAATCCTCTAAACAAACAAATAAAGCATCTAAATCCATTTGGGTTAATGGGGGTGTAGAATTCTGGACTACTTTATGCTGACTGGGGGACATGATAATCTTATGGATACCTAAAAATACTTGAATGATGCTAAATCCTCACTGGAATGTTCTGTGAGGCTTGTTCATCTAAGCCAGCAATCTTGGCACTATTCATATCAGGAGCCACCTGGTATGGAACAGAAGGAAGACTCTAGGAAAATTTTACTTTATGTATTTCTATTTTGTCTATATTGTATTCTACATTGAATTATGTTATATGAATGATATTTATATGAATGATGTTTAAGTTTTCTTCAATGAACTACAGATTCTCTTGTGGATCATTTTCCTACTATATTCTTTGAAGTTTCCAGGAAAAGATGGGGCCTCACAGCAACAACTCCACCTGGTTGACATGACTATGTGATGCTGATAGTGCTACTAAAAGATGAGTCTTTTGTGTACCAGCTTCCAAAATGGTGCACCTTCTCATGACATTCTGGCTAGAACTCCAAATATGAACTATGAGGGGAAAATAACCCTATTGATTACTTGTAAATTGTTTGCAACTATACCAGACAGTAACTTTGAAACTTAACTATCACTTTACTTTTGCAGGTTCCATTAAGAAAACATCACCCCATCATAGCAGGAAACAATTCTAGAGGATGATGCCCCCTAACTCCACAAAAATTTTGTCCTTTGGCTTGGGAACATTGTTCATTATTTATACTAGATAGAGGGTTGGGGTGAAAACTATATTCATTCTTAAAAAAGTAAAAATAATAGTGGGTAATAGAGTGAATACTTGAGAGCTATCAGTTTTGGATACTTGACATTGGTATAGTTTTTATATACTGATACAAGTTCAAATTATATATGTTATTTTGTTTACATTATTTGTTCTTATATGCAAATGTATTCTGTCAGATTTATGTAGGAGTGCTTCTACCTCTGTTTAGGACATTTTGTATATTCTTATTACTTTTAGGATATATTTTCATACTGTATTATATATTACTCCTATATCTGATCAAGAAACTTATGGATTGTTTACATTTTGTGGTCAGTGTTCTCATTGGTTCCATTTTTGTTTACAGATTATTTAATACTCTGACATGAAGGTTTAGTGTTTAAGTTATACAGGTATTAAATATTATAGGGCAATATTATTCAAGTTGTACATACAGTCAGATCAATTAGGTCCTTTAGATACATAGAAATGTATTCTGTCTAGATTGGTAATCTTCAACCACTTCAGGGATCTGCAAGACATGGCATTTAAATACCTTAGGGTTCTGTTGACATGAGACATGATTGCTCCTGACAACACCAATTTATTCCTGAGAGAATGTTGAGACAAAAGACAATCCACTTGAAGTTTGTTTTCTTCTTGGCACTGATGGCATATTGGCAAGAAACTGCCCATACCTCAACTACTGACAAAGTACATGGTATCTGGAAATGGATAAAAAAGACACAAGAAAAAAGACTGTTAAATCTTGCCAAGTCATATTTGCCTCTGAAAATGGTCTGCCAGAACCCTAGGACTTAGCCGAAGTTGGCTGCTTCAACATTGCAAATGAGACTTTGGGTGATTGCTCAAGTAGCTAATTGTCTCCATCCTATATTGCTTGCTTTGGAAGCTGCTTGATTGGTCTTCCTGCCTGCTCAAGTAATATTATCTCCATTCTCGGGCCTTCTATGGGGTTGAAGATTATATAGTTATATTAACTGTCCTCTTATGATCTAGCTAAGACATGTCCTGTACAAGATTTAGACTACTTAGGATATAATATTTATTAAAACATTTAGTATATGTTCCTTGCTTAATATTGTTTATGCTGGTTGTAATTCTAATTATACTTGATATCTGTTCCTAGTGTGTATAGTTTTGTATTGGGTGTTGAACTCTCTTATTTAAACGAAAAAGGGAGGGGCTATGGGAGCCCATTCTGCTCCTTCAGTTAATAGCCTTTAAGACCCCAGCTCACTTAAACATGGACTCTTATACTCAAAAAGCAGCTGTAAAGTATGCGCTCCCTCTCTTTCTTCAGGCTCTCGTTTTCGGCTGCTAGAATCTATTCCTGTTCCCAATTCATTTAGAGGACTGTGATCTAGGACATTTATCTGTAAATTACCCCAAAATAAATGACTCTTTATTATTCATGATTATGAACTAGTGTGGGATTACTTCTTGACTGCAGCCATCAAAGGATACTGAACATATCCTTAAGTGTCTTTAAGCCATTTCAGATTCTCCTGCTGTGAATTCTTTGTTTAGTTCTCTACCACACTTTTTAATTGGGTTATTTGGAATTTTGATGTCAAATTTCTTGCGTTCTTTCTATATTTTGGTGATCAGTCCTCTGTCTGATGTGGGGTTGGTGGAGATATTTTCCCACTCAGTGGGCTGCCTTTTTGACTCATCGACTGTGTTCTTTGCTTTACAGAAGATTCTCAGGTTCAGGAGGTCCCATGTATTTGTCGTAGCTGTCACTGTCTGTGCTCCTGGTGTTTATTTAGGAAGTGGTCTTCTGTACACATGCATGAAAGGCTACTCACCACTTTCTCCTCTATCAGCTTC